GCTGACTACAGGAAGCCCCAGGCAGAGTTGCTCTGCCCCGGGCTTCCTGGAATCAGCTGCTGATCAGTTTCAGCAGCAGCTGACTTGGGGACGCCTGGGGGTCTTACGTTGATTCTGTATGTAAGTCAGAACTGGCGGTCAGTTTCAGCAGTGTCTGAATCTGGACGCCAGTTCCGACTTACATACAGATTCAACTTAAGAACAAACCTACAGTCCCTATCTTGTACGTAACCCGGGGACTGCCTGTACTTTGTAAGTTTGAGATTTTGCATAAACCTATAATTATTCATGCAATTGCAAAAATTGACATATTTATTAATATAAAATTAATATAGATTTTGTGATTTTATTTGGGAATAAATAAATAATAAACAAAATAACCCTCCCCCCTTCCTCATAGGCGGGCACTCCTATATCCTCATTCTAACTCAATCCTCCTCCATTTCTCCAAAGCCAGGCACCCCCAAACTAATGCCTCCTCCCACCGCCAGAGCCAGGCATTTGCAGCCCTCCCAACCTAACCCTTTTCCCCCTCCCTCAGAGCCAGGCACCCCAAATCCAATGCCTCCCCTAACCTAATACCTAGGTCCTGGAGTCACCGTTGCCGCTGCCACACATTTCTTCCTCAGGTACGCTGGGGTGGCGTGAGCACAGTGTCCAGCTGTGAATGCATGCTGGGCACCGTGCACAGAGTGGCCTGGCTAGCTGTGATCTGCACTTGGCCACATGCTCCAAGTGGCTAGCAGGCCACACTTTATTCCTTTATAAAAATGTACTGGCAGGATGCAAAAAAATTCGATTGGACTGCATGTGGCCTGCCAAATGCCAGTTTGACAGGACTGCTCTAAGTGATATCCACATTCTTCAAGCAATTTGTGCTAAGTCTGAGTAAGATTAAATTCAAAAATGAAAAATAAACTTACCAATTTGTTCCTTAAGTATCACTGAAAAACAAACCAAAATAAGCAAGTATTTCAAAACAATGTAAGGTTTGTATTGTATCTTTCATTGTAAATATAATGCAAATCTTCTAATCCACCATTAAGTCAAAGGGCCTGTCCTCTCACAAACATAGGAAACCATTCTTCATCCCACCACACACTCATTACAAATGCCTTTTTCTTAGTCACACAGCACCACAGATACATTACTAAGAATGGCTTGAGCCCTCAATCAGTATGCAATCCAGAAGTAATTTGAGATTAATTTGATTATCACTAAAATAAAAAATAAAAATAAACTTACATTTCTCTTTCTGAAGTTCCTCTGAGAAACATAAAGATAAAATATATTTCAAAGTAATGAAAGTCTTCCTTTATGCAATATATCTGTTCAATAATCTCTCCATCTGTTCAGTAATGGGACTATTTCTTCCCCTGGTTTACTTCATTTGTGACATTTAGCATAGGTCTACACAAAGCCAATGGGAGGTCCAATTCCAAGGTTTGAGGGATGTACATGGCAGAGCTTTGCCCAAGGGTTTTCATCTTTGTTAGTGAAATTGCTCACTGACTTACAAGCCATTCATTTTCTCCAAGGAATTATAGTGATACTAGAGTGACCAGATGTCCCGATGAATGAGGGACTGTCCTGATATTTAGATATTTGTCCCACATCACAATCACACATTATTTGGGTTCAATTTTCCCTGATATTTTGGCATGGGCAGGCTGCAAGCACTTACCTGGAGGTTTGGGGGCACTTATATGCAGTGCTACTCCACATAGGTAAGTGGCTACCAGTAGTCTGTAGTTGGGTGACGCCTAGGCATGAGGGAGAGGACTCCTTGTACTGCACTTACCTCAAGCATGGGTGGCTCCCATTGGCCAGGAACCAAACCACTAGGGGCTGCAGGGACAGGGCTTACAGGCACATACAGGCTATGTCTACACTACAAGCTTCTTTCGTGAGAAGCTTTTTTTGGAAGAGATCTTCCACAAAAACTACTTGTGTAAGAGCGCATCCATACTGAAAAAGCACACCAACAAAGCAATGAACGTTTGCACAAGAGAGTGTCCAGACTGAATGGACAGTATCTCGCATGTAAGCTGTGATTGCTATGGACAGAATGGCCACCAGGGCACCTATGCTTTTTCCTCTTTCCTCTTTCCTCTTTCCTCTTCTTCCAAAAGACCTCCCTCTTCCCTGTTCATAAAAGGGCTTTTTCCTGATAGAAAGAGGAATACCAATGCTGGAAAAAACCCTCTGTTTTTTCAATTTACTGTCAAAAGAACACTCTGGCTGCATCTAGACTGGCATGATTTTGTGCAAATACTTTTAACTGAAAAGTTTTTCCATTAAAAGTATTTGAGCAAAACCGTGTCTAGATTGGCACGGATGCTTTTGTGCAAAAGTGCTTTTGTGCAAAAAAGCCCCAATCACCATTTTTGCCATAGGGGCTTTTTTGCGCAAAACAATTCTGGGTTGTCTACACTGGCCCACTTGCACAAAAGCATTTGTGCAAGAGGGCTTTTGCCCGAGAGGGAGTGTCATTGTATTTGTGCAAGAAGCACTGATTTTGTACATTACAAAGTCAGTGTTCTTGTGCAAATTCAAGCGGACAGTGTAGACAGCTGGCAAGTTTTTGCGCAAAAGCAGTTGTTTTTGTGCAAAAACTTGCCAGTCTAGACGCAGCTGCAGTGTGGCTGTAATTCAGGTTTTGTCAGAAAAGTGGCCATTTTCCCAACTAAACTCTGTGATGTAGACTTAACCACAGTGCACAGAGCTCTCTAGTTCCTCCAGTCCTAGGACCTGCTGGACACTTCCTGGGAAATGCACCAGGTAAGTGAAACTGGTATCTCCAGCCCATGCCTACTCCTAGCAGGTCTCCATGGCTCTTACATTTGGAGGTTGCAAGGTACTCAGTGCAGGGTACTAAGTGCCTGTGCCTACAAGCACTGGCCCTGCAGCTCCCATTGTCATGGTTTCAACCAATGGGAGCCGAGGAGCTTGTACTTGTGGTGCACAGCATGTGGAGACACTCTTCCCTCCCCTGGATCCACTTCTGAGCCAGAGACTCCCTGAATCCTAGCTGGGCTAATGAATGTGAGAGGGGTGGGGTGGATACTGGGGAAGGGGCATGAGGGACTGAGAGTCTGGGAGACAAGGGCAATACTTAGGGAGGACAAAGGCCTAAGTCACACATACTGGGATGCTGTATTTTGCTCTTCTGTCCGTTCCTGTGTCCCTTGTCAGAGGAATGTACACAGCTTGTGTGCTGGCCTCTCTCTCCTGGCTGAGGGGAGGAAAGGGGTAGAGGAGTGAATGACGCTAGCTGAGTGATTTCCTCCTGCTTCCTGATAATGAGGGGAAGGAGATGAAGAACTAGTAGCATCCCAGTAAAAGGGGCTGTAGGCTCTGGTGCTCTTGCTAAGAGATAGGGTGTGATAGGGTGCTGAGTTGTCTGTGAGGGTATGTCTACACTAGCCACACTAGTTCGAACTAGGGTGGCTAATGTAGTCATTCGAACTTGCAAATGAAGCCCGGGATTAAAATATCCCAGGTTTTATTTGCATGTTCCCAGGCACTGCCATTTTTAAATGCCCAGTAGTTTGGACTCTCTGCAATGAGGAGTAGTCCGAATTAGGGGCTGTAGTTCGAACTAACTAGCATTTAAAAATGGCGGTGTTTGGGAACATGCAAATAAAACCCAGGATATTTTAATCCCAGGCTTCATTTGCAAGTTCAAATGACTATATTAGCCACCCTAGTTTGAACTAGGGTGGCTAGTGTAGACATACCCTGAGGGAGTGGAAGGTGCTTGGTAGGTGAGGGAGGACTGTGTGTTTTGGAGTGCAGGCTGAGGTACCTGTTGGGAGTGCTGAATAATGTGGGAGAAATGTGATTGTGTCTCTGGGCAGCCTGTGTGGGACATTGTGTACTTGGAGAGAGAGGAAATATGTGTGTAGAGGGAACTAAGGAGCCAAGGAGTTCTGTGTAGGGTTCTGGGCAGCTGTGGTGAGTCTGTAGATGGGAGTATTGGGCAGGTGTGATGATGTGTATAGCACTGTGCATTTATGGTAGAAGGGCTGTGTTTGTTGTAGGGGGTGGCTCTTGGCTTAGTTGTTTGGAGCACAGAACACAGCAGGCCCAGAATGCCCTGGGAAGGACAGCCATGTGGCATAGCATAGGCCCACCCCTAACAGGAAGGGGTCCAGTCAAGTCCCCTCACACATACACTCTGACATCCTCTGACTGGCCATGACGGGTCACACAGATGTAGGCAACCAATGGACCTAGGCTCAGTGGAGTGTGCACGTATATGTGTCTGACCCAGCACATACCCTGCATAGCACAACTGCAACATCCCTTTACTAGAGAACATTGCTGAGATGGGGCAATGCCTCATGATGGACTGTAGCATGTAACATAACCCAAGTCAGTATCTGCTTTCCATGGTGAAGAGGATTTCACTGTATAGAATGTCTGTCAGTGCCCTCCCCCTACTGGAAATAGTCTTACACGAGTAGGCCTTATAAATAGAACACATTCCCAAGTCAACTGACTACACATAGACATGTCTAAAACATACTCCACTCCACTCATGAGAACTATGGTATGCATCCTGGCCTTATTCTCTCCATCGACCTATGCTACACTCTCCTGTTATTCTATAACAATGAGAGCCAATAACAATACAGTTTCTTGGTACTCTACCAACATTAGAAATGACACTATACTATTTGCAAAAATCATGCATCTTGTTCTCTGGCTCTAGAATCACTCAGAGGGAGGAGGAGTTACATAAACATAGTTTTGGGTGGTCTTCCAGAGAATGATTTATAGAAATGCCCTGAAAGTTGCCTTTGAGAGCACTTCCTTAAGCCGTAGTCCTAACTCTAACCTTTGCCCTGTGGCTTGCAATAGGGGCTGCAGAAGGGGCCATATTGCTTTCTCAAACCTTCTAGGGTCTACGCCCCCCTCTCCTATGGCTCCGCTTGGGTCTTTGCACCTGTGGTTAACCCTCCCCACCTCCCCCATGCGTTCTTATATTTTATTCTCGCAATCTCGTCATCCTAAGTGATACCCACAGTCTACGAGCAATTTGTGCTGAGTCTGAGTAAGATTACATTAAAAAAATGAAAGTTAACCTACCATTCTCTTTCATAAGCTTCACTGAAAAACAAACAAAAACAAGTATTTCAGATTGATGTCAGGTTTTATTGTGAACTTTAGCACCCCCATTTGAAGTAACAGGCAGATTCCCTGTGCTGCTCTATGTAATCCATAACACTCACATTATGTCTAGATGGTGGCTGGGATGTGCAAGTAACTGTTTGGGGACAGACAAAGAGAATCTTTGCTTGAGCTTCTGCCCAAAAATGGCAGTGTGGCTGTAGTGGCAGGCCAGCAGTTGGAGCTTTGTACCCAAGTACATACCCATAAATCAGGCATTGTTGTTTATGGGGTCCTAATCTGAGCTGATGCCTCTACCACCATATCCACACTGTAGCCAGCTCAAGAGAAAAGAGAGAGAGAGAAATTTGTGAATTCTCTGCCTAAATTGTGTGGGAGGTTTTCCCAGCAATTTAAAGAGTGAACCATCATAAGAGGAGATTATTTGTAATGGACAGTGAGACGAATATATCAATAACTTTTGACTTTAACACAGAAGTTGCTGCTCAGGGTGCATCTACACAGCACCCTAAACTTGTGTTATGCAAATTGTGTATCTTATTTCAAAACTACTTTTAAATAGCTTATTTTGAAATTTAGTGTGTCTTCACAGCACCAAATTTCAAAATAATGCACTCTTTTGAGCCATCCTTTATCCCTCATGCAACAAGGTTTACTGGGATGGCAAAATAGTGCACCCGTTATTTCGAAAAATATTTTGAAATAACGGGCTGCTTGTGTAGATGCAGGGTAGCCATTTCAGGATAGTTCTGGCATGCCAAAAAAGCCGAGAAATGTAAATGTACCCTGAGTAAGTGAAAAAGTTCACAAATGAAACCTAACTCACTAATTTTCTCCTTCAGATTACAAGTGTTAGAATCAAAACAGCCATGTTCCAAAATTCCACTGTGTGACAAACACCACTTTCCTGTGGCATGTTAATAGAGTTACTGAGGGCTAAAAATGAGGCATGAAAAGATCAAATCCCAAATTTAGCTTGATGTATCCTGCTCTGCAGAGCCATGGAAAGGTCTTGAGTCATGACACAGGAGCAAGGCCATCAGTGATTTCACATAGCATGGGAGGGAGGTAAAGAGAGGGATGTCACTTGTGTATATATGGATTTTATCTAGATGTTCATACTGAAAAGGGTAATGAAGAGGTCCATTTATAAGCTATTGCCATATAAAAGCTCATGTTATTTATAGTGCGTCTCTGATGCAAGTCAAGATGATTATAGGGTTCATTGGCCTGAGGAACGGGAAACAATGCCAGGAAATAATGCTCAAAAAAGGAAGAATGTGAATGCTCCTGTTGCAATTGATCCCAATTGTCTCCCCAACAAATAACACAAAGATCAGTGTGGACAGCCAGCATAAGACATGAGAGGCCGGGGAGGCTAAGCTTTTCCAAACAGGACAAGGTGCACTTCATGGAGGCATGCCAGCCCACTATTTTTGAAGTGCTTCTGGGGAAAGGGCACCCAGGCCATAATCCCACTCCTGCATCCCCTTGACAACTCCATCCCAATCATCCTCTTTCCACATGGTCCTTCCTGAACTGCTCCTCTTACCACCTCTGCTCCACCACTTCCCCTGGATGTCCCTGCCTTTCTCCTCCTCTCCCCTCCCCAAGGCATCCCCAGCCTGAGGAGTGGCAGGCAGGGGTGCCTTAGGGGAAGAGGCAATAAGGCACTAGGAACATATGGTAAAGTGTCCAGGGAAGGAATGTAAAGGCTGAGCAGTGAGCAGAGGGCCTGGGGTAGGGAGCAGAGTTGGGAGTGGGGTGGATCAGGCATGGATCATGGGCAAGGCCTGGGGGAGAAGGACAAGAGGATCTGAGCCTTGGAGCAGATCAGAGACCTGGCCATTGTTTAGGCGCTGTTGGCTTGCCACATGCGTAGGGAGCTCATGCCCAACCTCACCATACACTGGAGTCCCGCACTGCCCATGAAGACCTGCTGTCACTTTCTCTCCCTAGCAGGCACAAGCAGCCACAGTGAAACTGTGAGTCCTTCACAAGGCTAGACTTGTGAGGGTTTTCACTGTGTTTGTCAATTCAGGGAGTTACAGGACAGGAGTTAAGTGTATTGAAAATGAAATTAAAAAACAAAACAAGCCTGCTTGCAGGCTAACGGGCTCTATTGGGGAGCTTGCAACTTGGGCCTAGCAGAGAAGTGTGCAGACAGGTGCCTAACAGCAAGGTGGGAGTGAGTTGGGTCCATTTGACTTTGTGACCAGTTTGTTTCGACTCTCTGTTTTTCATTCAGTGTTATCCTTCGGAAGTAGTGACGTTGTATTGCAACATTCCAGAAAGAGTCCTTTAGGGTTTTCTCTAATTGCTCTGTGTTTGTCTTGTGTGACGATAACTGAGGAATGCTTTTAAAATGAAAAATGGTAGCAGGAGGGAAAGGAAAGGTGGATAATGGAGGGATGACAGGAGTTACTATAGAGAACTTTCTGGGTGTCTGGCTGGTGAGTCTTGCCCACATGCTCAGGGTTTAGCTGATCGCCATATTTGGGGTCGGGAAGGAATTTTCCCCCAGGGTAGATTGGCAGAGGCCCTGGAGGTTTTTCACCTTCCTCTGTAGCATGGGGTACAGATCACAGCTGGAGGATTCTCTGAATCTTGGGGTCTTCAAAGTATTTGAAGGCTTTAATATCTGAGATATAGGTGAGAGGATTATTCTAGGAGGAGTGGGTGAGATTCTGTGGCCTGCACTGTGTAAGGGGTCAGACGAGATGATCATAATGGTCCCTTCTGACTTTAAAGTCTATGGCTGTGTCTACACTGGCCAGTTATTCCAGAAAATCAGCTGCTTTTTCAGAATAACTTGCCAGCTGTCTACACTGGCAGCTTGAATTTCTGGAAAAGCACTGACGATCTAATGTAAAATCATCAGTGCTTTTCCGGAAAAACTATGCTGCTCCCGTTTGGACAAAAGTCTTTTTCCGGAAAACTGTTCCAGAAAAGGACCAGTGTAGACAGCAGAGATTTCTTTTGTGTAGACAGCTCAGATTTGTTTTGCGCAAAAAAGCCCCGATCGCAAAAATGGTGATCGGGGCCTTTTTGCGGAAAAGCGTGTCTAGTTTGGCACGGACGCTTTTCCGCAAAAAGTGCTTTTCCGGAAAAGCATCCTGCCAATCTAGACGCGCTTTTTCCAAAAATACTTTTAATGGAAAACTTTTCCGTTAAAAGCATTTCCTGAAAATCATGCCAGTGTAGACGTAGCCTATGAGTCTATAATACACCTCTGAAATCTGTGTTGGGGTAGATAGAATGGCACATCTGGGGGCTTCACAGAAGTGTCAGAACATCCATAGAAGTGCTGGGTAGAAGTGGGGGATGGGGGGAGAGGGCGGCACTGGTGTTGGCAATGTGGCTCTGCCCCCTACTCTTTCTAGAATCATAGAATCATAGAACTGAAAGAGACCTCAGAAGGGCGTCAAGTCCAGCCCCCTGCTCTAGGCAGGACCAATTCCAACTAAATCAACCCTGCCAGGGCTTTGTCAAGCCGAGACTTAAACACCTCTAGGGATGGAGACTCCACTACTTGCCTAGGTAACCCATTCCAGTGCTTCACCACCCTCCTAGTGAAATAGTTTTTCCTAATATCCAACCTGGACCTCTCCCACCACAACTTGAGACCATTGCTCTGTTATGAAGAACAATCCCATTCCAGGCACGTCCCATGTCCTGGCACAGCCAAATCCTTCCCTTGGTTTAAGTTATGCAAAGTGGAAGCTGCCTAGTAAATTCAGTGGTCCTAACCTTATCATTTAGGAGTTCTTGAACAAACAGACACACAAACTCTCTCAAATACATAGTAGATACAAATGCTGAACTAACTGGTATTGTTTTTAGTCAAAGTTCATTGTTCTAAATTCTTCCCTATGTCTTGCATGGAAAAAGCTCTATAGCTTTTAAAGAAAAACTCTCTGCAAAGAAATTCCTCTTATTCCTTATGCAAAAGAAGTTAATAGAAGCCAAGTAAGTTAAGAATAAAAAAATGTAGGCAATCACTGAAAGAACTGCAAAGAAAATAAAGCATAAAGCATCTCTAAGTAGCACCAAGTAGCTGGGGGAAGGAAGGGCAGAAAGAAAGGTATCAGAGTAATACCGGTTTTAGGTATCAGAGTAATAACTATGCTGAAGTTTAGCAAAGCAAGAGTTTGGAATAAACAAAGGAGTACAGCAACTTCGTAATATAGCCATACTCTTACAATACTGCTCAATACTAAGCCATACAAAATTTAGAATCAATGCCATGCTGTATAAAGTTTATGAAATTGTACTTTGTAAAAGACAGGCAATAACATCAAACACTACTACAACAAAAAAAGGTACAGTAGTAAAACAAATTAAATATAGTAATAATAATTGCCATAGCTTAATACAAACAAGCTGCAAGTAGAATTTTTCATCCCCATTTAGAAGGTTGTCAAGAGAACAAATAGCTTTATGTGGCATTATAAACCCAGAAGACAGCTTTACAAATCCATATATACTGATGTCTTCTAGGCTCATAACCAGGTGATCATCAAAGTTGCAACTGATGTAAACAAAATACGAACCTTGGTTTTCTTTGAGTAATTTTAATGATTAACAACTGCACTTTTCAGAAAACGTGCCACTCTTTTGTTCTCTTCTGCATTATTTTGCTGTTGCTGTGGGAAACAAGGCAGGCAACTAAAGCTACTGTTGTTTTAAATTGCTCTGCAGTGCAGGTGGGCACTATTAAACAGCTGCTGTGCTTTATCTGAGTGGTGGCTCTATAGAGGTACCAACAATAATTAGCCACTGTTTGTAAAACACTTGGGCTGTGTCTACACTGGGCCACTTATTCCGGAAAAGTGGCTGCTTTTCCGGTATAAGCTGCAAGCTGTCTACACTGGCCCCTTGAATTTCTGGAAAAGCAGTGACTATTTACTGTAAGAAATCAGCTGCTTTCCCGGAAAAACTATGCTGCTCCCGCTCAGGCAAAAGTCCTTTTTCCGGAA